GTGGGTGTGCAGGACAACGCTCAACCAACTGAGTCATCTAGCCAGGGCTTCTTTCTCGATTTTGAAGTATCTTTTCAAAAATCTTTCCTACCATTTGTTCATAATGTGCTTACTTTTCCTTGCCACAATTTTTGCTCCAATCTAGTTATTACCCTATAAATTCTTGCCATTCTTCTGGGTCGTTAACAGAATTTGAAAAGTAAATAACTTAGTTTGTCTATCTCGGCCTACTAGAGATTCTAACTCATTTTTCTTACAATTCTCAGAGAAAAATTTAAGCTCTGGGATCATTGTCATTATCTTCATATTTCTTTCATTTTTGAGTATTGATTCTGTGCCAGACACTGCTAAGTACCCTACAGAGTTTGGTACAATTGTCTTCATTTTACAAATGAGAATACTGAGTCCAAGATAGAATAAATACTTGATCCCAACTAGTTACTGGCAGAGCTGGAATTTGAACCAAGCTCTCCCTCTGTCTCCTCAGGCTATGAATTTTCCATAGACTCTGATATCTCCCTTCCTGTGTTCCACCCTTCCCACCCTAGTCAGTGTGATTATAAAATAATGGAAAATCTGAAAATTCTTCACCCACTCATCTTAAACAAAACAGAACCTTTAGAAGGACATTTTGGTTAGTACTTGTATGGCATAAATTTGTACTGCATCTTGAGATAACATACCATTGAATTTCCTTTTGAAATACTAATAACTTAACGTAAGAAATATATTACTTGTTTATACTTTAAGGAGTAATTTTTAAGTGTTCAAACCTTATAATAGTTGTTCATACCTATGGCTGTGATAAAGCCTCTAAGCACTGACACCATAAGAAAATCTGGGAATTCCATATAGGATAGTTCAAAATATGTGTAGTATATGCTTAGTTATACTTAGCACAACTTAGTTCCACAGGGCTTGTGATTCCTTTATAAATAATTCTATATTCTTTTTTCTGATATAATCCTCCATATGATGTTAGTACTTCACTACCAGCTATCTCATATCTATAAAGAGTGACACCAGATGAGCAATTCTGTCTTAAATTCTTTGTTAGTTTATCTCAGTAGTATAGGTCTCTGACTTCTATTCAAAATCCAGTTCTTTGCCCTTATTCTCTAGATATAAAGATGTGAGTCTTTGGTTCTTTCATTCGGACCTATGGATAAACATAAGTCTTTTGTTAACAGGCCTATTTTTTTTTCTTCTCTGCATTTATATCACTGACCTTTGCTTCAAAAGCATTCAGTCTTTAACAGAGGAAGACTATGAAAGGGGGTGTTGTAAAGCCTTTATTCTACAAAAGAAGCAACACAGGGAAAGCTTTATATTTGTTGAGTGATTTAATTCTTATACATGCAGAGCTTGGCCATGGTAACATGGTGGAAAAGTCTATTAGTGCAGCCTCACAGTTAAACTTCTCCACTCCTGTGTATTTTTTACAAAGAGAGAAAAGATCATCTCCTTTCCTGTTGTTTTAAAATCTACCCAAGAAAAGCAAAGCATGGTGTCTAGAATGGTCAACTGCTTTATCAAGATTCATAAAGCCACCGTGGGTTATTTTTTTAATCATCAACTAAGAAGTATATACTCCAGGGAGAAAAATGCCTGCTTAAATCAGTCTTCTGATTTAAGAACTATGAAGGGAAAGTCCACTTACAAGAATAGCATCTGTGCCCTGGCTGGGTGCCTCAGTTGGTTGAAGTGTCATCCTGTACACCAAAAGGTTGAGGGTTTGATCCCCAGTCAGGGCACATACCTAGTTTATGGGTTCGATCCCTGGTTGATGTACATACAGGAGGTAGTCAATCGATATTTCTTTCTCCCTTCCTCTCTAAAAATCAATAAAAACATATCCTCAGGTGAAGATTAAAATGAAAAAGAATAGCATCTACTTTGAGAACACTGACTGTATCTTGTATTATTAATATATTAATAATTAACAATAACATTAATTATTAATATTATATTGTTAGGTATTCCAAGATAATACCTTTTTCTCATAGGTGCTGGGTTGGCAAACACTGTCATTAAAAATAAATGTTTCTTCTTCTGTATACTGAATAATCTAATGTCTATAGAGAAATGAGAAGTAAGCATATTTTAGTTAATATTTTAAAAGCTTTGAAAATTGGCTAATGAAATGTTGTTAGCCCTTCTCTAAAAGGTACATTATATCCTTATAATCTCCTGAGAGTATAGCAAGATTACAAGACTTAAATAGATTGGATCCTTTTTGTGAAATCTTAAGATATTCCTGAACTTCGTATTTGGTGGATACAGATTTACTTTACTAGGCCTTCAAGTACCTTGGGATATTCTTGTGTGAGACTGTGTATATGTATATGGGTTTATTTTTTCTTTTATTTTTTAATTTTTTGCAAAGTTACTTAAGAGATATGGTTGCTAATATAAATTTCTATAGCACTTTATAAAACAATGCTCATCTTCTATATTAAGTACAAATTTTAATTAAGCTTTAAATATCAAAATAGTTGGGCTCATATCCTCTGAGAAACTTGGACTTTGCTGGACTGTAGCTTCTCTTCAAGCAGTAAGACCTGATAGCTTTTGTCAAGGAAGACCTGGAATTTACTGGCAGTGAGAAAAGAGACGGGGGTTTATTTTGTGCAAGGATTAAAGAAAATATAAACTTATTGACATAATCCCTCAATAGATGATGGCTCATTGTTTTTATCATCAACATAGTCATCACGATGCCTGCTTTTAGATACTTCCATTTTACATTTTCTGTAAAATTATTTGTTAGTCAAGGAACTGAGTAATCCAATACACTAGGCAGCTTAAGACAGAAGTACAGATTTTTGATAGGTTACTTCTCAGGATACAAGACTTTAAGATATGTTAAGTATTTACTCTTACATAAGCTTGGCTTTCTTTCCCTTCTGGACTGGTTTTGTTTGAGGAAAGCCCCCAAAAATATTCCATGTAGAACTGTTTTTCTACTTGCTTTGGCATACCCTGAGATATTGCAAAGAACCATAGTAAGTGAGAGAGAGAATAAACTTCAACTCCAGCTGCTCAAAATACTTTTATAATCATAGAAGGCAAAAGCCATATTATTTTGCCTAAGGAATGCTGATGAAGAGAGAGGCATATCTCACATAATAAAAAAAAATCCTTAGTTTTATATACTACAAGTAAAATACACAAGTTGAAAGTTGCTTTCCTTCCATTCTGCAAAGTTCAATCCAAAGTTCCAATAACTCTCAAATTTAGAACTTCTATTTTTACTACAGAAATAAGAATATGGGAAGTAGCAGGGGATTACTTTAACTGATGATATGTGTAAGAGCTATTTAAGTATTTAACGATCTGAGTTTGGACTCCTGAACTAAAATTAACAACACCATGGAGGCTCATTATTAGGAGCTGAATCTCTAAAAAAACAACAACAACAACAACAAAAATACAACAAACATTATAATGAAAATCAGTTCTCCCTTACATTGTCTCCCATCCAACATAACTCATACCAAAAATCTACTCAGATGAAGCCTAAAAATTTGAGATACAGAATGAGCATATAAAGAAGGTTACACTGTTAGAAAAAAGGGAAACAACTTCTGCTGTTCTGAGAATCCCAGTAATTATTTTAGCCTTTCATCTTTGTTTTTCCCTTCTAGTACTTAATTCTAAAATTCAGTTTGTATATTTATTGAGCATTTATTTGTCAAATATGTATTAAGTGCCTACAGCAAACCAGGTACTATACTAGACTCTCAGGATACTAAGACGGCTAAGATATGGTTCCTGGACTCAGCAAACTTACCAAGTAAGATGTATGAAATGAAAATAGTTATAGTACACTATCCATAGGCTTTAGCCATGTCTCAAGAATAATAAAAAATAGCTTCATGATACAGTCTTTGCCTTGGGTCTTTAAAAACTTAACTAGAGGAACAAGAGTTACATATATGAAAGAATATAAAACAGATCATAATTAAGGTTAAAATTTATGGTGCAGAGAATGTGAAGTCAGGAAGCCAAAAGATTGCTTTAGACCACTAGAGAAAGCTTTAACAGAAAATGATGAGCCTGAATACTTGAAAATTTTTTGAGAGATGGAGGAGGAAAGACATTCTAAGAGAGATGTTTGTAGAGGAAATAACAACACCAAGAGACATTTGACAGAAAGTGGTGATTTATATGTGTTTGAGTGAGTGATTGTAAGAGCGTATGGGACAGAGAGGAGTTGAAGATGACAACAGAGGTTTAAGTTTCACTGATTGGAAAGAGGTGATATTAATGTAATGGCCATCTAAGAAAAAAAATAGGTTAATAGGAAGAGATGGGATACTAAATAAGCTATTTTTCTTACTTTAGATTTCTGGTCCTTTTGACTTGACAATTTATAATTTTTATATGGCTTTAATCCAGAAAGTGATAGATGTCACCATTATAGTCATTTCACATACTTGTGAATTCCAGTTTGATTACCAGGTATATATTAATATAGCTTGTACCTAACATAGAAAATTATAGCATGTTGCCAGCATCTCAATGGAAATTGGCCAACACAGTCCTTAAGATCTTAATCTTCGTATTCTTTATCCAGGAGCCAGGTTGGATGAAGACTTTTCAGCTTCAGATCAGTCAGTGTGGATGCTGATGGAACTGTGGAATGATTCAGGAATGAAATGTGGCAGTAGTACCCGTTCTATGCCTGGGTGCTTAATAAACAAAGATTTCTAAGCACTGGGATTTATATTCTCCATGGCTCCTTTATCATTTATTTTAAACTACCTGAGTGCAGAGGATCAAGTTGTCACAAATTATTAGTGTTGGTAATATGTTTATTGAATTTATATGGTCATGAAGCTGTTTAATTTTTATTATATTTAAAATAAAAATCACTCAGTACTTCTAGAATCTAGTTGAAATAATTTCTACATTAAGATCATTGTATGATGGGATGTTAGGCAACAAAATTTTCAACCTAATTTACTTTTGTTTATTGTCTTTGTTTTTGTTTACAGTTCTGGGAAATGCCAGTGTAAAGTGGGTGTCACTGGTTCTACATGTGATCGATGCCAAGATGGATACTATGACTTTAGTAAGAGTGGCTGCTTGCCCTGCCAGTGCAGCAATCGGTCTGCCAGTTGTGATGCCCTCACAGGTACACATTTTCCTTACCTTTTAATGTAATTAGTCCATTGTTCTTTTTATTTTGAGGTCCTTCATCTATAGGTTGATTCTTTCCAAATAGTTTATAAGGGTCTTTCTCCTCTAAGTGGGATGTAATAGGTTATAGCAAGCCAAACTCCTGCAACAACTTGAAGAAAAAATCTAAATACATTTCAAAAATTATATTGGTTGGAGAGCTATGGAAACAAGGAGGGTGATATGAACTAAAATTTCAAAAGGGATAGAACTCTTCCTAAGTGAGTTGGTGATCAATCACAGCCATTTCTTTTCCAGAATTAGCAAATGTCCTAATTCTGGGCACAGGTTAAAGAGCAGGGTTGGCCCAGGCAAAGGAATTCTTGAAGAAAGAGACACAAGAAGGGCTTTTGGCCATCCTCTGGGGCTTGTAGGATGGATTGGAAACTAGAGGAGCCCTTTACACAAGGGCTGATTTCCCTCAGGACCTTAGCTGACTGTGTAGAAGATGGAAGCCTGGCCCAAAAGGTAGAAATAAATCTCAGTCTTGTACTGCTTAGGGAACAAAAGTCTCTTTAGAGCCTGGCTGGTGTGGTTCAGTTGCTCAGAGCATCGTACTGAGCAAAAAGGTTGTAGTTTCGCTTCTCTGTCAGGGCACACGCCTAGGTTGTTGGTTGGGCCCGCAGTCAGGGCGTTCATAGGGGAGGCACCGATTGATGTTTCTCTCCCTCTTTCTCTCCCTCCCTTCCCCCCTCTCTAAAATCAATAAGCATGTCCTTGGGTAAGGATAAACAAAATCTCTTTAGAGAGGGCCTCCTACAACATACAGCCATCTCTCTCGCAAGACGTTGCCAGATTTTAAAGGTGCATGGACTAGGACCTAGGCTCAAATCAGCAAAGGGAAGTACTGAATCTGTTGCAGTTCTTTCAGGGCTGAGGAGACTCAGGCCTGTTAGGTTCTTAGTCAAAAGCCTTAGAGAGCCATGACCAGGAATTGTGATGAACCATTGGTAAACTGACTCATACTGAAATTGCAGTTTGTCCTCAACTCATTTCAACGTCTGATTGGATTGAGGTGATCCTCTTCTTGTATTTGCCTAACACAGGAAAGGGGAGTCATCTGTGGTTCTCGTATAAACTGTATCTGGCATACAGTAAAAAATACTAGACATTTCTGAGGTAGGAAAGTATGACAATAAAGAGAAAAACAATGGAAGGAGACCCATAGGTGATCTGCATATTAGGATTAGCATACGATGACTAAAATAACTAAAATTAATATTTTAAGGAAATAGAGGAAAACCAGACAAAATAGATTAAAGGAGACAAATTTCAAGAGACTTGGAATCTATTAAAAAATTCAAAAGGACAATCAAGAGCAAAAAAATCCCATGAAATTAATAACTTATTACATGGGTGTTAACAGTAGATTGTACACAGTGGAGACAAAGTTAGTACAATAGATTCAAATATAACTCTATTAAAAATATCCAAACTAAGGCAATGGAAAGAACAGAGCAGGAAAAACATGTGGGGTACAGCCAAAAGTCTAACATAAACGTAATTAGAGGCTCAGAAAGGGGCGGCGGGGAGAGATTGGAGCAGAAGAAATATCTGAGAGATAATGGCCAAGAATTTTCAAAATTAATGAAATATATCAACCCACAGATTCAAAAAGCTCAGCAAACCCTAGATAGTATAAAAACAAGAAAACCACATTTAGGCAAACTTAGGCAAACTATAAAAAAAACTAAAGACAATTGACTTCTCTGGTCTTTAGTTTTCCTAAATGTAAGGATTAGAGACCTCCTTGGAAATCTTTTTTTCTCCAACAAAAAACGGTCAGGACTAGTCTTACAAGTACAAATGCTTTTATGAGAGCAAGGTAGCAGAATATTTGAAAATGTGGAAGTACCCTGGAAAAAAATCTGTTGAAAACTTATTCTTTATTTTAATCCTCTATTCTATGATGAAATAAATTTATTTAGAAGAAATTGTGGGGTTTTTTTTCCTATTATGTGATCTGGTCCCTATCTACTTACCAGTTTTATCTTCTGCCTTTTTTTTTAATTGTCTATGATCAAATCATACTGGCTTCTATTCCTGAAACAAGCTGTGTTCCCTTGTCCCAAGGTTCTCATGCATGATCTTTTCTTTGCCTAGAATGACCTTTCTAATATGCCTCTATCTCAAACCCTGGACCTTTTACCTTAATAAATCATATCCTTCCTTTAGACCTTCAGTTAAAGATTACGTCATTAGAAAGCAGTTCCCAGCCCTGGCCAGTGTGGCTCAGTTGGTTGGAGTGTAATACCATGGACCAAAAGGTCATGGGTTTGATTCCCAGTCAGGGCACATGCCTAGGTTGCAGGTTTGATTCCTGGTCAGGGCCTGTATGGGAGGCAACCAGTCAATGTTTCTCTCTCCCTTCCTCTTCTTCTCTCTCTAGAAGGAAGGAAGGAATCTATCTATCTATCTATCTATCTATCTATCTATCTATCTATCAATCAAGCAGTTCCTGATGATCCAGGATTAATGACAATTCCCAGTTATATACTCTCATACACACTTCTATTTTTTCATAGCACTTACCACGGTTTGTAATTGTATATTTATTTGTGCTTATGAGTCATGTTTGGCTTATTCACTACATTGTAAGTTCTACATCAGTTTTGTTTACCATTGTATCCAATCTTTAGCATGGAGCCTGGCAAAGAGTAAATACTCACTAAATTTTTGTTGAATAAATGAACAAGTGAATGGAATACATACAGAGGAAAGATGAGTTCCAATCCTGGGTAACGACAGAAATGCTTCATCATACTGAGTTGATTTAAATTATCCTCTCGATCTTCTGCGGTACAAGGAAGCAGTCTACATTGCTGGTTGTCATTTCTCATTTTCCTTGAAGCAATGAACTAGCTCTCTTTAATGTTAAATAAATCCCAACCTGTCCTTGCTCTGGAGATAATTTAAGGCAAAAGAAATCCTTTTCATGATTACGATTTCTAAAAGCAGCTAATAATAAGAGGAATAAATGGTTTCTCTGTTTTGAAATATAATAAAAGTGGAATCCAACATGAAGGACTGCTAATACTTGATTTAAAACTGTAAGCTTAATATAAAATCGGTCTTTTGTCTCAAATGAGATTTTTTTCAACAGTGCTGTGATACGGTTGCCCTCTGGTGGCCATGTACAATGTTTTCATAGTCTTTATTCACTGCCCCCCCACCCCGCCGCCCGCCTGCTGTACTCTTTTTCTATAACTTGTATTTTAGATTGAAGTAATTTTTAAAGTAACCTTTTTGTGATAAGATATATTGGAAAAACATTTTGGTAAGCAATTTGACAATGTGTGTCAAAAGTCTTAAAAATACTTCCTGTTTCAGTAATTTTGTTTCCGGGAACCTATTTGGAGGAAATAATTCTCAATTCATAAAAAGCTTTATGTTCAAAGATGCTCATCAAAGTGGTAGTTATAATTCTAAAAAAATGAGACTGCCCTATTTAAAACAGAGAATGCAAACTATGTTATCTAGGCAATATATAGTTAAGAGCATAGAAAGTGAAATTTTGACTTTACCTGTGTAAGTTACTTAGCCTATTTTTTTAATCCTCACCTTAAGATATGCTTTTTGATTTTAAATTTATATTTATTTATTTTTAGAGAGGGGGAGGGAAGGAGAAAGAGAGGGAGAGAAACATCAATGTGTGGTTGCCTCTCACACACCCTCTACTGGATACCTGGCCCACAACCTAAGCATGTGTCCTGACTGGGAATCTAACCAGTGACCCTTTGGTTCACAAGCCAGCACTCTATCCACTGAGACACACCAGCCAGGGCTGCTTATTGATTTCATGGAGAGGGGAGGGGAGGAATAGAGAATGGGAAAGAAACATCGATTGCCTCTTGTATGCGCCCTGACCAGGGACCAAACCTACAACCTAGGGATGTGCTCTGATAGGGAATTGAACCCATGACCTTTTGGGCTTACCGGACCACACTCCAACCAACTGAGCCACACTGTCCAGGGTAGCCTGTTTTTTTTTTTCTTTTTAATCTAGAAATTTGGGATAATAACAGTAATTGCCTAATAGCTTGTTGTGAATAGTCAATGCAATATACAGGGTCCAGCACAAATTAATGCCCTTTTTTTAATTAGAAAATCTCAAGCATGTAATTCTGTAACATAACACTATCACATTTAAGCACACCATATGACATTTTAGGTGAAATGTTCAAATTAAAACTATAATTTATTATACCCATATTATTGTCCTACTTACCACACTTGAGCAGGCATTACTTCTACCAGACCCTGTATTTATAAAGCCCTTAATATGGTGCTTGGCTCATTATAAGCAATCTATAAGTGCCAAATGTTTTTATGTTGTCATTAAAGTGTTTTAAAGATTGATCTAAAAGTGAAAGAGAGCAAGTGAAAGAAAAGGGGTATAACGTGTTTAGACTTTAAGAGCAAAATCTAAACCTTTATATATGAAAAGATTTCAAGGAAAAGTACTCAAAATCCTAATGACAAATTTCTTAGGATAATTTTTTTTTCTTTCTATTCTTCCTGTACTTTTCTAGATTTTCTTTATTGAAAACACATTTCCCTTAAAATGGAGGTGGGGGAACTGTTATTTTTTTAAACTAGAACTTTATGTTCATAAAATATACTTCTTTTTAAAAATTGAGCTCCTTCATGTATTCATAGTGTTCCATGGAGAGTAATCTGACTGTAGCTGCTTGACTGAGCTGACCACTCCTTCGCTCCTCAGTGACTTTCTTCGCTTTAGGATATCACACCTTCCTGGCTTTTCCCCCTTTTCAGTCAGCTCTGCTTCGTCTTCTCTTTCTACTCTAAACACTGGAGTGCCTCAGAGCTCAGTCCTCGCATGCTTGTCTGTTCCACTTACACGCTCTCTACATGTTCTCATTCAGTCCCCTGGATTTAACTTAAATGCCATCAGCACTTGTGTTGATTAGCAGATGTACATTTCTTCCTTAATCTTCACACTCAAAGATCTAACAGTGCATTTGACATCTTCACTTAAATGCTTTAATTGGCATTGTAATCCTAATACATCCAAAACAACTCCTTATTTTGCCCTGTAAGTAATGCCTGCTTTATTCATAGTGGTCTTCATTTTGGTGACTGGCACCATTCACCCAGCTGCTTAGTAGTCCAGAAGCCTGAGACATATTTGATTCTTTTCCTACTGTAAATATCCAATCCATCAGCAAGTTCTACCAGCTTGACATTCAACATAACACCCTGAATCTGACCACTCTTCATAATCTTCATTGCTATCATCCTTGTCTCAGCCACTGTCCTGTCTCTGAACTACTTTGACATCTGAACGGTCTCCTCTTTTGTTCTCTCATCCCCTAACACCCACCCCAACATAGTCCAGTCTCCATGTAACAGAGTGATCTTTTTACTGTAAAATGTAAAACCAGATCATATCATTCTCATGCTAAAACCCTCCAATGGCTTCCCCTCCCTCTTGGAATAAAATTCAAACTTCTTTCCATGGCCTACACAACTTGACATTTTTTGGCCCTTTCCTTTCTCTTTAACCTTATCTCTTGTTACTCTCTCCCATGTTCATGTTGGCCTTTTTTCTGTTTGACAGGTTAAAGTTTGCCTTCTGTCCTGTTAAACTGGGTCAGGTATTTTTTCTACAACACAATACTTTGCTGTATTTCTGACAGGGTTATATATAAACTATGAAATGGCAAAATAAATAAGGAAAAGTCTTTTTACAGGTGGCAATTTGTTTTCAAAGATTTGTCACTGAATTTAGTTGGAAAGAAACACTACATTCTTTTCTTTGACCAGTTATTTTCTTGGTTACCACTACCAGATTTTTTTGATGCTTAGCCTTGGAGCATGAGATCACCTTCAGGAAGCACTCATTGCTTCCCCCACTCCTTTTTTTTTTTTTTTTAAATCCACTCCTTTGATTATATTTTAGCAAACAGAATGTGAATTTTAAGACAGTGTTGTTATATAAGGGAGACTCCAGGCAGAGAATAATGAACAAAGTTAAACTTCAGCTAATTTTTATATATCATTTATCACAAAAGAAAAATCCTCAAATTTTTGATGTTAAAGGAAAAATAGATCTCATCTATTTTAGCTCTCTTAATTTATAGATGAGGAAATTGGAGCATAAAAAGAAAATATTATATCCTATGGAATAGTCTTTCACTCTTTGTAATATTTACATTACATTAAATCATTAGCTAAAGAATTATTATCCCATTTAACAGCTCAGAAAAGTGAAACTCAGAGAAGCTATTTGCTTCATGTGGTAAAAGGTTCAGCTGGGAATGGAAGTCAGACCTGACATTAAATACCATATCATTTTTCTTATGCTGTGCTGCCTCCTACAGAGGAATTGTAAGCTGTTAAAAAAGCAAATTCACATTATTAATTCCTACTGTATGTGGATTTTAAAGGTTGTGATCCTCATTTTTATTAACAAATCTTATCTTTAAGTTTCTACATGAAATGTTTAAAAATTGCTGGAGTTATTGAAGTATTTTATAATAAGCATGTTGTCCGTTTTACAATGTATTAGTTTTATAATCAGAAAAAAAATCAAGATAATAAAAATAAAAGTGAGAGTTGTATACCAGAGAAAATTTGAAAATTAGACAGGGGAAAAAAAACACTGTGAAGGGAATGTTGCTCCTTACAACTATTATTAGCATTCTGGTACATTTATGTGTGGTCTGTAATTTATTAATTTTCTTTCTGTATAGTTATGTTCCAGGTGCATGCTCTTTTTAAAGTAATGTAGTACAGAAATTAACAGCTATGTTAGTCTAGAAATGTTCAAAATAATTTTTTCCTTTTGTGTAGAGGTAACACACTATATTAAATACGTAAGATCTTAATCTACATGGGTTTGATTATAGCAACTAACAAAATATTCTCTAAATAATGAAAAAAAGAACTGATGAGTTTTATTATTATACTTGTTTTCGTGTTGACTTTTGAGTTAACATATTTACCATATAGGATTTTCTTTTTTCTTATTGACTTCTCATTGCCTGGTAGGGCTTAAAACGAATGGAAATAAGAAATTCTTCTGGAAAAAAATTTAAATATTCTAATGTAAATGGTTTAAAAGAATTAAATTATATTGTCATAGGAACACAGACAAAGCCTTGGGGGTCTTATCTAGAATAGTAAGAAGCTCCCAAATAGTAAACATGTATGCCCAGTAATATTGCAGGAGCAAAGTTTTAAAAGTATATGTATTTACCACTTTTTAATAAGAGTAACAATGTGACTTTTTCTTGCCACATTACGAATGGCATGTATTTATTACTAGACTTAAGTCTAGTATTGTTTAATGTAGTTCTTAAAATTTTACAAAATAAGTACCCTCCTTCTCTAAGTATCATTTTGCAATTTGCTTTTATCAAACAGCATTGTTTTTAAAATTTATGCATGTTCTTAACATACAGGTCTAGTTCACCTATATAATGCAGTATGCCAGTGATTAAAATAATACAGTTTATTTTCTTTTAATGATTTTAGGTTGTTTTTATTTTTTCTTTGCAAATTATTGGCCTACTTTCAGTATGTAGTCTATCAACAAGGGCTTATTGCAACTCTAGTTACCTTTTCCTAAAGAGTTTGCAGTCTAGTAGGGGACACCAAACGTACAGTGCAGAAGTAAGACGGGGCAGAAACTGATCTCTGTCCAATCTCTGCTGGTTGACTCTTAAGGTCTTTTGGTTGCAGGTATGATTTATGCAAAGTTACTGTGCTTTTGGAGTAAGTATTTAACTTCTTAAAATAATTTGCTTCTTTTAGGTGTTTGTTTAAACTGCCAGGGAAATAGCAAAGGGGATCACTGTGAAGAATGCAAAGAAGGATTTTATCAGAGTCCTGATGCCACGAAAGGATGTCTTCGCTGCCCTTGTTCAGCAGTGATATCTACAGGCAGTTGTATCATAAGTAAGGCCTTTCTCTAACTCTTTATTTTTGAAGGAAAAATGAGTGAATCAGTTATCAATAGGTATAAAATGTGTTGATAAATAAAGTTCTGGGTGCTGTAGGTGAAAGGGAGTTATAAAAACAGCAAAGACTTCCTGTTCTAGGAATTTGCAGTCAAATCCACATACTTATGTGAAATGAGACTTAAGGGAGGGATGAGGAAGTTTTTGGTAAAACCGTTGTTTTATTTCATCTATTATAACTAGAGAGTAAGGGATGAAAACAGTTCAGTGCGTATCCATTGTAATTATTCAGATTTCTTACGTAAGCATACTTCTATTGTTTTCTACCTGAATAGGTTCTCTGATGGTCCCATCAGTCTCACAATAAATTGGACAATTAATAAGTAAGGTGTAGATTTTTAGTTTGATTCCACATGTCTCTTAAGTTTGAGAGGAGATAGTAGGGAAAACTTAGAACCCTTTTGAGAACTAGCTGTTTTGCATTTTCAATTGTAGTTTGAGACTGGGCTGAATTATTTTGGTGTTCTCTCTATTTTAGAATTGGGTGAATTGGAACCTACATGTGTCCAGTGTAAAGATGGTTACACAGGCCAGAACTGCAATACATGTGAAAATGGCTATTACAATTATGACAGCATCTGTATGAAGTGCCAATGTCATGGCCACGTGGACCCAGTTAAAACTCCAAAGATTTGCAAGCCCGAGAGTGGTGAGTGCATCAACTGCCTCCATAACACCACTGGGTTTTGGTGTGAGAACTGCCTAGAAGGTTATGTTCGAGACCTCGAAGAAAATTGCATCAAGAAAGGTAAACTTCACCTAAAGTTGTACATTTAATATCTAAGCCTAGCATTGAAAATTTCAGGACAGCTACCTTTAGCTTTATAAAAGCTTCCAATCCCACAAGAGGAGTTTTCTGGAAATAGATTTTGATAGATATTTGCCTAAAGAGATTTCCTTCCATTCCTGCTGCTCTCCTGATACTCCAAAGTCAACTTCAGAAATTTGAGGACCAAGACCAAGTCATTGCAGTGTTTTCACATTTTCTCTTCATCTACTTTTATATTTATGTTAATAATTTAAAAGTCCTATCATTTTTTTTTATCCTTTGCTTCCTATATTCTCATCACCTCCAGTGATCACCAAAGGTCTTTTAAAATAGGGACTATAATCTGGTTAGAAGTTCCAGCTGGGCAATAGGCGTTCATTCTAGCATCTGTCCTAACTTTGGGCCTAATTTTTCCCATGCGTGATGGGGGAAATAGTTATAATATTCCTTTTGATTTTTAAAATAAAAGGTTATTCATATGGCAAAATGTTCCTGACAGGGAGGTTGAGTAGGATTTAGATACAAATTAATGATTAGAAATTCAGGATGAGTTAAGAATATTCAGGCTTTATTAGATCACAGAGAGGTTAGACCATGTTTTTCTATAAACCACCCTTTGATGCTGAACACTGGGCCAATGGACACTTGGCCTGTGGCAAGGGTTGTCCTTCTGCCATTTTCTTGATGCCCTTACTCTGTTGTGATCAAGGCTAGAAGACTCCAATTGAGCCTTATCACGAGCCTGCACATCCTGTCACTCAGCTCTCTTTCCCATTCAGAGGCATATCTTGTATATACTTAGCTGTCAGGACTGTGATGATTTTCTTATTTGTTATTAAATAATGTAAAACATGCCTCTTTTGAGGATATATTGATGTGGCTGATTGTGGTGATTAATTATAATGATAAAAGTAATCATTTTGTTGAATGACTACTATGCGCCAAGCACTATAAACATTTAATATAACAATGTTATATATTATGTTATCTCATTTAATCCTTCCCAAGAACTTTGCAAAGCATATATTATTATTCCCATTTATAGATGAAGAACCTCAGTTTTAAAAAGATTAACTGATTTATCTATAATTGTTCAGTTCTACTTAATTCCAGCGTCTTTGGTATTTCCACTGAGTTATGCTGCATTGGAAGTACAAAGTATAGCATGTTAATTGTAGCTATAATCTACACAAAGGAAGAATTACTACACATGAAATTAAAGGGAGTCTCTTTTCTCTCTTGACTGACACCAACTTTGGACATCTAAATTGTGTTATCTAGAAGTAACTAGAAGTAGAATTTTTTCTGTGTTTTGTTTTTGCCTCCTTTGAATAGAAGTTTGCCCTTATGAAATGCCATCAGACATGCTGAACTTATTTTAGTTCAATTGTCATCTACCCCGTCACTTTTAACCAAGTGATTTAGAACTCAGTAGTGACATATTTACTGCCTGTGCAGGAATTTGTATAAATCTATTCAAGAATAAAGAAGGATGGAAAATTTCAACATTAGAATTTTTCTGAAGATTTTAATATAGATATTATACATTTTGAATAACAGCCATGGATATAATAATCAACTTTTGTAGACCCTAAGTCTTTTCACTATATCTCTCTTAAAATTATTTTTAATTTGCATGACCTTGAAGCAGAATATCATGTCAACATGCCATATCAACTTCCACTCCCATGTATTTCTTTTATTGTTTCTTAAAACTAGATAATTTTGTCTTTTACATTTCATTCTCTGTTTTTATTTTCAGAAGTTATTGTTCCAACACCTGAAGGTTCTACCATTTTGGTTTCCAATGCCTCTTTGACCACATCAGTGCCCACCCCTGTTATAAATAGTACATTTACCCCCACAACCCTGCAAACTATCTTTTCAGTAAGTTCTGCTGAAAACAGCACATCAGCTTTAGCTGATGTATCATGGACCCAATTTAACATCATCATTTTGACTGTCATCATCATTGTGGTGGTGCTGCTGATGGGATTTGTGGGGGCTGTATATATGTACCGGGAGTATCAAAACCGGAAACTCAATGCCCCCTTTTGGACCATCGAGCTAAAAGAAGACAATATCAGTTTCAGCAGCTACCACGACAGCATTCCCAATGCAGATGTGTCAGGATTGTTGGAAGATGATGGCAACGAAGTGGCTCCCAATGGGCAACTGACCCTGACGACACCCATGCATAACTACAAAGCTTAAGGAGCTAGAACTGTTCTCCAGGATTGTTAGACTGCAGTGCTTACTAAGACAGCATCAGCCCCTGGGCCAGACAAAGCCTGGGGAGAATTTGCTGAGGAAGCAAAGGCGTATAGTGCATTGACGTTTTCAGGTACAAATTCATAATGCACTTAGCCAATTACATTTAGTTTTCGCATGAAGATCTGAAGCAGTCACTGTCAATAAGGACTTGACGTAAAGTATATTTTTGTACAAAACCACATGGGAGGATAGAAAAGCTGAACCTCAGTGCAGCCCTAATCCACTTTGACCTCCAAATAGACTCCTTGGGAGTGTTCACTCAACCAGCGGAAACAGGATGACAGATGTGGAGGGGGAGAGGACTGCCCGAAGACTTCATCTCCATTCCTGAAACATTTTTTAAAAAAGGAGGGTCAGGGATGGTTTCATTTTTCTGTACTAAAAGACATCATTGAGGAAAAACTGATGTCTGGGCTATATCACAATAAACAATCTTGATAGTTTCTAGAATAGGAGCAGAAAAGTCCCAAGAAGGACTTTAGAAGGGCTTGATTTTTCCTTCTAGAATTCTTGCTCAGTGAAAGGATTAAAGCACAGGATAAGCTAATGATACAGAGGGGAAGGCAACATCTGGGAGCAGGAAGCTGATATAGTCCTCCTTAGGGTCTCAGTGTAAATTATAAATTGTCTAAAAATAAAAAAAAAATTTCCTGCCTCTAGGGAAATAAGGTGTATATAGTTAATGTAGCATACCTGGTCAGCATTGTATTTGTATCTATTTGTAAAAAAATCATGTCATATTTTATCATCTAGAATGTATTTGTACAGAAGTTAATGGCGTAAAAAGAAAATATGGGAATTGGTTAAAATAATGTAAAATAGATGGCAATATTGCTAGAGCTGGGACTCTGGTGCACATCAGTCATTTTTAGTCCCTCTTTGGACATTGTTGAAATTTATAAGAGGTTGAATGTTTCTAATCTTTCTTTTCCTTTCTCATTCTAAATGTAGAGTTTGTTCTTTGACTTATTACAGATTCAAGCAATAGATTTTGAAGACGGTGATTGTTAAGCTGGAACACAGGCTGTATTCTCCAAGCTACTCACCTAATTAGACATTAACCACTCTCTATATTTTATATAGATTAATGTAGAACTGATCCTCATTGAAAATGTTTTTTAATGTAAAAGATGGTCTTCCAAAGGAATTAGAAATATTTTAGTTCCAAAAGAAAAGCCATCCTATCACTTGGCATCTGGTTTTCATGCCTATGAAATATTTATATCCCCCCACCAAAATCTACATTTGAACATAGCCTGTCACTCATATGCCATGAGGTATGTTCCATCTATCTTTAGTGCAACAGTTCTCCTATCTTCTTGTCCAGTTAAGGGTAGCTCTGTAGTTGAGTGAATATGGTTAGTCCTTGTATTTAGGTGTGGTTTTTTCCCCAAGAGGCCATCCACCATCACTCTTGTCTATTATGATATTGACAGATTAAACAAGTCAGGATTAAACAAGTGGATTAAACAAGTCAGGAAAAGCAGCCAGAAAACACCTATAGATATTTATTAGAACAGCAAACTTTCAAGCAGTTAGAAAAAGAGTAAAGACTTATTAGACCTAGGAAATCTAAGGTGACAACTTTGCCAGTTTACCCAGAGGAAAACCTAGAATTTGGCCACCCCTCTGGAGGAGACCACTAAGTTGTTCTCAGGGTTTGGAGATGATGTTCTGGAGGATGTACAGGCAGATAATCTGCTTCTGGTAACTTGGGGTGCTTCAGATATTTGGCCATTGCCCATAAGAGCAGAGATTACAGTATGTTATATTACATTAAAATAAGTTAATATTTCTATAGTCCTTTGCACGTTACAAAACATCTTCCCATACGTGTTTCTTTTGTTTCTCACTATAGTTCCCTGAGGAAGTAATTGCTGTCCCCTTTTTGTAGATGAGGTTAAATGGTTTATTTGAGGCTACACAATATGTCATTATTAGGCTTGGAATTAGGACTCCTAACTCTGAAGCACATATTCTTTCAACTGTATGCTAATGCAGAAATTGCTTAACCACAGACACAAGAAGGCGGAGAAGCGGAGTCCCATCGGCAAATGATTCTAATTTTTTAAGTACAAGGTGCCATTCGGGGCCATATGGCTATGAAGGACTTTGTGGAAAGAACACAGGAAGATTACTATCTGAAGCCAGTATTGGTGATAAGAAAATAAAAATACCAGTTCGTGCTTCATTAAAGTGAACTAATCCTTCTAAGTAGGGAGAGAAAACCTGCTTTCCCCAGCAGCTGCCACATATGTGTGCATAAGCTGTGCACTGCACAATTTTAAGGAACTGTGCAAAGTGCCTTTCTCCAGGTTACCCTCTGAAAGCCAGGGATTCAGGATGGTGAGAAATAAACATTTGATTAACAGAAATTAATCCAATAGGGAAAGGAATGTTTATTGGGGTCTAAGAGCCAAAGCCAAATAGTCCAGATTCTGGCCATGTAGAGATTCCTTGAAACAGACCTTAGAAGGTATTGCAAAAATTGAATCGCAAAGAATGTTTACCTTTAAATACTTATGAACAGTCCTAGATCATGTTTTTAATTTTTCCCAGTGGAAAACAACTAAAGATTTAAACATTTAAAATTTTATTTCATGTCCCCTACTTTTTTCTGTTGGACATAATATTGCTCTATAGTTTAAGTTAATCATGAAGTGATCTACCACCAAAATCAGACTAGAAAACTAGTATGGAATGCATTATACAATATTCATTTCTCTAAAGTATGATCTCATGAAATAGGACATGCAGCACAAGGATCCCCGCCCCCCCATCAGTCCTTTAGAAAGACTAATATCGGAAGAATTTTTGTCTAGAGATTAGAAATGTTTATTTTCAGATAAGATTAGTGTGAATCTTATTGATAAATGAGAGATACTGCTATAAAGTGATGCCTTCATCTTCATTAACTCATTTTAACAAGCACTTAAGCATTTCTGACAGTTAGATACCCTAGGAAGTGTTGTTAAATATGTCTGTCCTCTCTTATTTTTCCCTCCCTCCTTCCCTCTACTAATGGAATTTCCTCAGTTATAGAGAAAAATGATAATAAAAACTAAACCTCATTTATACTAAAGTCCTATGGACTTAATGTGTTACTCCAAGAGATACCTGAATTTTAAGAGAACAGAGCAGACATAGAATGGAAAGAGAGAATTTCTTGGGGGGAGGGAAGAATTTGTAGAAGCATCAAATTATATGACTGCTTTGAAGCCCAAAATTCCCAGGAAAATTGACGATTAAAACAACACTCACTGACCCCTGAGTTCATTTTGGAGGCAGAAAGCTAAACAACAGTACTTCCTCCTGACAGCCTCAACTGGGATTGGGTAATTAGATTATTTACCTTAGTTGCATATTCCCCCCCTCCGCCCCCCATAGGACATGTGGTGAACATACAACCACTGGTAGATAGGAGTTGAATTTACACATCTCAAGAAAAGCTCTCTGACAAAAGTTTAGAGAAGTAAAAAGCAACCCAGTGTAACCTGGTAGAGTAAGGAAAGCATTTCTGGACTCGTCACAAAGTACCTTTGGTCTGTTATGATCTTCTTGACAGTAAGGAGTTTGGAAGCTAAAATGAGTTTGGTGTATGCAGTGGAGTAATAATGGAAGGTTAATGTAAGTTTTCTCTGTAACCTCAAGCCAGTGGCTATGCCAAGGGGAAAAGCAGGAAGAACATGCTGATTCATCTGAAGAAGTCAAATAATATCAAATGGACTAAAGCTTATGGATCATTAAAATGTCAGTGGCTGAATGATGCTTTTCCAAAGGCAGTTGGGAATCAGTCTTATGTGCAGTGACTGCAACAGCTGCCCTAGAATGTGAGCGCAGGGCTTCAGATTTATGTTAATGCAAAAGCTAAATGATCTAAAGTTAAATTGTAATGCTAGACACAAGCACTCTGTAACACATTAAATTTCAGCCCAAGCAATTAGAGAATGTTTCTGAAACATTAAACTTGTATTTATGTCACTAAAGTTCTAACACAAATTTTAAAAATGTGTTCTCATACATACGCTGTACTAGGCTTCATGATGCATTTCTAAATTTGTGTATGATTTGAATATATAAAAGAATTTATACAAGAGTGTTATTTAAAATTATTAAAAATAAATGTATATAATTTGTACCTATTGTATATTTGTTGTTTTACTTTTTTACATGGTGAGAGTGGTTGGAAGTCTTTTGATGTATGTCACAGATCATTTATTTTCCAACCACATTGTGAAAGTCTTGAACCCTTCCTTTGTTGCCTGCTTTTTTGTTTTAAGAATTTCCTTTAAAGAATATTTTCCACTTGGGAATAAAATGTCACATGAAGAAGATTCCCCCTCTTAGAACAAAACAACACCTCCTAAGGAAAAAAACCCCACATATATCCTTATTTGTGCTTTTGCTTGTTCCCTCAGATTCATTAGGGTTTCCATGGAAATGTTATAAGAAAAAATTTGCTCTTTTTGGATTCCTTTTTCATTCATGTAAAACATTTTCTTTTGTTAGTATAAATTTGAAGGGCAACTACCATGTTCTATGTGTTTAGGAAATAACTGGTAATGAGAGCACATCTTTTTATTATTTTGAGGTGACCTTGAGGATCGCTATTTTGACAAAATTCAGTGGTGTTTAATGGGATGCCATTTGGAGACCCAAAAGTTACTTTGAAAAAGAAGAAAAACTAAGGCCTTTCTTTGTGCTGACAGCTTTATAAACTTCAACTGGTTTATTCAATGTCAGTTGTTGATATTTAATTTAAACTTTAAAACTGTTTTTCTTTTCTAGTCACACAAGAAAACAAACTTTGTTAATTTATAATCCCACCTTCTAATTTATACATAGGGTTCTATATATGTAGATCTATGATGAGCGTGAATTGGGTATTATTTTAAGAAAACAGAGAAATAAGCATGGCAGAAACCTAGCAAAGTAAAATTTTAAGAGAAAGTAAATTATCTTACAAATTTACTACAGCAAGAGGAAAAAAATATTACTTTCATAGTATTGTCATATTTTTCAATGAAAGCCTATCAAGTAAAGACATCTACTAGATTGCATTACCAAAGTTGGTTGTATTCATTTTCCACAAGAGTATTAGTGTTTTTAAAAATCATACAAGCTTCACTATAATTAAATCAGTAACTTCAAAGTAACAAGTATGCTTAGTTACACTTAAAATGTTAAGTTAAATTCAAAATAACAATGTTTTTCATGAGATGATATTAGTAGGAGTGTCAACTGATAGGCCGAAAAGCAACATTCTCAGTGAATGTTACGTCATAATTATGTTAGTTTTTCAAGGCAAATTTATGAAGAAATTGTTGTCGTAACCATTGTACAAGCTTCCTGATACTTAAGCTTACAAATGAAAGCCATCAGACAATGTTAAGTTTAAAATGTGTTGCCAGTTTGTAATAACAGGTAGATTTTAAACCTTGTATGTTGAACACCAAACTTCAGATAGCTGCAGAAAAAAAAAACAGTCAAAATGTTTTCTTTGTATGTAGTAAGAGTAGGTTTGGATAATAAAGGAAGTATTTGGAAGGAAATCTTCTTTTTGTGGTTTCCTTTGTGTTATCAGACAAACTGCTGAAGTCTTACATGTCAATGTTGTTTTTCCTAGTCTCTGGCCCAAATAAGGAAGAGCCTTATCCCTCTTGTTCACTACCATTCTAACCCAATCATGTTAAACGCATGTGTAATTTCCTATATATACCTGGTTATATGATGTCTCTCTCCCTTTGCTGCTGCTGTTTCTTTTCTCTATAACGTTCTGGAGAATGTTTCTTCATTCTTTGAAACCCCTTGATTAAAAAGAAAAAAAGAGCTCATCAATCCGTAATTTGTATCTCCATTTTGTCCAATGAATAGCTCTCTTATTGTACATATTTTATTGTAAATAGATGTTATTTTATGTCTTCCTCAGTAGACCCTGTATTTCTCGAAGCCAGGGGCATTTATTCCCCTACCCGTAATATTTAGCACAGTGCTGGCTCACGTGGGTGTTCAGTAAATGGTAGTTTAACACAAAAGGTACCGGACAGATACAAGAGTTCATATGTGAGCTTATTTAATGAAGTATTATTAAAAATCATATTCAGTGGGTAAGACAATATTATTAATTTAATAGAGATGTCAGCATATGGGTGTCAGAGGGTCTGAGAAACTGTTGAAATTGTATGTTGTTTGGTTTGTGAATACAAACTGTGTGTGTGTGTGTGTGTTTCTGGAGAAAGGTCCATCACCTTAATCATAGTCTCCAAAGGATCTATGATTCCAAAGGATTAACAACTAACTGGATGGGTATTACTTTGTGTAATTCAGCAATAAAACCCTCCCACTGAATAAAAATCAGTTCAGCCTCAATTCAAGAAATCCACTTCTGGGAATCCCTCATAATGAAATGACCTAAAAAGCAGAGACTTTTGTCCAAAAAATGGCATTTTTCCCCCCCAAAGTTGTATATAAGTTCAAAAAAGGGGACAAGCTCTAGGTGTTCAACCACAGAGACAGGGCTTAGTCGATACACTTGTTGAGATAACATACAGTCATTTAAAAGAATAAGGAAGACCTTGACTGGTGTGGCTCAGTTGGTTTGGCATCGCTCTGTAAAGTGAAGGGTCGTGGGTTTTATACTGGTCAGGACACATGCTTGGGCTGCAGGTTTGGTCCCCGGTTGGGGAGCATACGAGAGGCAACTGATCAATGTTTCTGTCTCATACTGATGTTTCTTTCCATTTCATTCTCTCTCCCTTACCCACCTTCCTCTCTAAGGAAAAAAAATGTATACGGAAGAATGATTAAAAACAGAATCAGAATCAAAGTGAAGAAAAACAGGATATTTTAAACATGTGCATGCAATCCCACTTCTGGTATATATCAATAATTTAGAGACACTCTTATATATGTGCCCCAGGACCCATGTTTCAAATTCTTTATTGAAGCATCATTTGTTACAGCAAAAATAATAATTGGATACACCCCAATTGTCTGTCAGTAGAAGAATGTATAAGTTACGGTCTATCCATATCCTTTGAACATAATTTTATGCAGTAGTCAAGAAATGAATGAATTACACATGTGTACATCTATATGGATGAATCTCAAATAATGTTGAGCAAAACAAGGCACAAAGAATATATGCAATATAATTTCTTTTACATTATGGCCACAAATGGGAAATGGAATATGTGTTATTTAAAAATACTTATGTGGGGAAACTAAAGAAAAATAAGGGAATAATTAATACAAAAGTAAAGATAATTTTTTGGAAGTAAGAGGGTGATACACAGATGATTTCAAAGGTATTAGTACTATTTTTTCTTAAGTAATGTGAGAGAGAAACATTGCCTGGTTGCCTCCCATATGCACCCTGACTGGGGATCAAACCCACAACCTTTTGGTGCATGGGACCACGCTCCAACCAGCTGAGTCACCTGGCCAGGCCCACTGTATTCTTTTTAAAACTCTCTGTGTTTATGCATACACGTATAGTCTGGGGGGAGTGTATTCATATATATATATATATATATAACATTTCATAGTGAAAATTTTAATAAGATAAACTGGTGGATAAAACATGATTTCAACTATGTTGGAAAATACAGAAAATGGGAGGAAATACCATAACTTGGTGATATCTATACTAAATAAAAAGAAAAATCCACTACATTTTATTTCATAATGGTAAAAAAATAAATTTATCAGGGGGATATAGCAATCATGAATGTTTACGCACTTAATAATAAGACCTTCAGAATACATGAAGCAAAAATTGTTAGTACTGAAAAGAGAAATAGGCAAAAAACACAATTATAGTTGGAGATTGCAACTCCCTCTCAATAGTGTATAGAACCAGTAGACAGAAACTCAGTAAGGATATAGAACACTTGAACAACATTATCACCAACTTGACCTAACTGACATAAAACAGTCACCCAATAATAGAAGGATATATATATATATCCTTCTATATCTATATCTATATTTATATCTATCTATATATATATTCTTTTCAACTGAACAGGGAACATTTTCCAAGACAGCACACACACTTGTCCATAAAATGTCTTTACAAATTAAAAAATATCAGATCATACAAAATGTATTTTCTGACCACATGGAATTAAATGAGAAACTAGTAACGAATGTATCTGGGAAATTCTGAAATATTTAAAAAGCAATATACTTCTGAGAAACATATGTCAAAGAAGAAATGAAAAATTAGAAAGCATTTGAACAGAATTAAAATGAAAACACAACATTTCAAATTTGTGGAATGCAGCTGAAGCAGTGTTTAGAGGGAATGTTTGTATTAGAGGAAAGATCTCAAATCAATGACCTAAGCTTCTATATTAGGAATGCTAGAGAAGGATGAGCAAAAAGAACCCCAAACAAGAATATAAGGAATAATAAAGAGCGAAAATAAATACAAGAGAAAATTAATGGAACTAAAAGTTGTTTTTTTGAGAAATTCAATAAAATTGGTAAATGTCCAGCCAGAATAATCAGGAAAATTTTTAAAAGAGAGAACATACCCCTGCTGCCACACACACACGCACGCACGCGCGCGCGCGCGCGCACACACACACACCTACACACATACAAATCAGGAATGGGAAGTTATACCACTATAAATCCTGCAGACATCAAAAGGATAATTAGGGAAGTTTAGCTAATAAATTTGATAACTTAGGTGAAATGTTCAGATTCTTGAAAGGCGCAGACTAGCCAAGCTCACTCAAAAAAAAAAAAAAAAAAGATAATCTCAGTAGCCTTATGTCTATTAAAGAAATTGAATTTGTATTTAACAACCTCCCACATAGAAAACTCTAGGTCCAGATAGCTTTACTGGTGAATTCTATTAAATGCTTAAAGAAATAATACCAATTAAACACAAACTCTTCCAGAAAAATTAAGAAACAGATAATGTTTCCCAACTCATTCTATGGGACTAGCGTTTAAATTACCCTGATACCTTGAAGACAAAGATATCATTAAGAAAAGAAAACTACAGACCAATATCCTTCATGAACACAGATACAAGTATTTTAAGAAAATTCAAGAATTTGACAAGTTAAATACAACAACATAAAAAAAGAGAGTACTTTGTGACCATCTGGGGTTTATCCCATGAATGCAAGATTGGTGTAATATTTAAAAT